GCACTCATAACCCAGTGGTAAAAGGAGAATGAGCACGCTCAGTGCGACAGGATGGAGTGACTGGAAGGAAGGAACCATTCATTTTGCCGGGGGTGGATGAGTGGGGGGGTCACTGAACACTACAAAGAGGAGATGTATTTGTTTCCCATAGCTGCTATAATAAATTACCACAAACTTGGTGGCTTAAAACATCAGAAATTGATTCTCTCACAGTTCTGGAGGCCAGAAGCTCTCAGTAAATGTGTTGGCGGGGCCCCCTGTTCTCAGCTGTAAGGGAAAATCATTCCTTGCCTCTTGCAGCTTCTGGTGGCTGTTGGCATTCTTTGGCTTGTAAAGACATTACTCCAGTCTCTGTCTCCATATCACCTTCTCCTCTGTGTGTCTCTCAGAACTGCTTCTGCTTCTCTCTTGTAGGGATACATGTGACTGCATTTAGGGCTCACCCAGATAATCCAGGATAAACTCCTCCTGTTAAGATTCCCAACTCAGGGACTTCCCTGGTGGTGCAGTGGTTAAGAATCCGCCTGCCGATGCAGGGGACATGGGTTCGAGCCCTGGTCTGGGAAGATCCCACATGCCGTGGAGCAACTAAGCCCATGCGCCACAACTACTGAGCCTGCGCTCTGCAACGAGAAGCCACCGCAATGAAAAGCCCACACACCACAGCGAAGACCCAAGGCAGTCAAAAATAAGTAAATAGGGCTTCCCTGGTGGCGCAGTGCTTGAGAGTCCGCCTGCCGATGCAGGAGACGCGGGTTCGTGCCCCGGTCCGGGAAGATCCCACATGCCGCGGAGCGGCTGGGCCCGTGAGCCATGGCTGCTGAGCCTGCGCGTCCGGAGCCTGTGCTCCGCAAATGGGAGAGGAGAGAGAGTGTGTGTGTGAAAAAAAAAAAAAAAAAAAAAAAAAAATAAGTAAATAAATAAATAATAAAGATCCCAACTCAATCATACCTTTTGTCATATAAGGTAATATTCACAGGTCCCAGGATTCAGAAGTGAATATATCTTTGGCAGGGCGGGGGGCGGGGGGAGCCTTTTCGTTCAGCCTAGTACAAAAGATAACGTTTGAACTGACCCTTTGCAGGTGCATAGGAGTTTATCTGATGGCAAAGGGTGAAGGGCATATTCAAAAGCCCAGAGGCAGGAAGGTCCCGGGTGTCCCCTGGAGGCCCATAAGGTGGTGTGTCAAGAGGTCTCTATGGAGGAGAGGTGAGGCTCTGGCGGCAGGTCAGGAGTAGGGCATGAGGGCTTATGTACAATGTCCAGGACCTGTGTTGTGTCCTACAGGCAATGAGGAACCATTAGACATTTTAAAATAGCTTGAGTTTTGGAACTTTGTCCCCAAATGGTAACATTCCCTTCATTACAAGAGCATCTTCTTTGCCACAGGTTATGGTGCCAGCACTGATAATGTTGAGGGGAGGTGGAGAGGACTGCTGTGCTCACAGATGTGGGGTAAGTACTGTGGGGTCTACAGAATGTTTCGACTCCCACCCATACCCCCAAAAGGGTTTAATTCCTAGGCTGCAAGCTTTCTCTCTTCTGAAGGCCAGACTATTAACCCATTGACCGTAGCCTAGTACTTCTAATACCCTCCTTTCATTTATTTAGTTTTCTTGAAATATAGTTGATTTACAATATTGTGTTAGTTTCAGGTGTGGAGCATAGTGATTCAGTATTTTTGCAGATTATACTCCATTACAGGTTATTGCAAGATCATGGGTATAATTCCTTGTGCTATATAGTATATCTTTGTTGGTTATCTATTTTATACATAATAGTTTGTATCTGTTAATCCCATATGCCTAATTTGTCCCACTCCCCTTCCCTCTCCCCTTTGGTAACCATGAGTTTGTTTTCTGTACCTGTGAGTCTGTTTCTGTTTTGCATATACATCCACTTTTATTATTTTTTAGATTCCACATCTAAATGACAAATACTTCCTTTTAAAGTACAGTGATATTATGCAGGGCTCTCTCCAACAGTGATGAGGGTTATTGCATGAGATCCCAGGAAGAATGAGCCTGGAGAGGGTATAAAGAGAGTCGTTAACACACAAAGCCTGTAAGCTCTGGTGGACCAGCCTGCCAGGGTTTGGTTGGTTGTTTCTATCAGTCTGTCTGTCTGTGGGAAGGTCTAGGACCCTCCATCCTCTGGCTTTCTTATTTCCTTAACAGCCAGTAGATTAACACATCCTAGAACTGGGATTTGAGCAAGAAGGGAATTGGAGATTTTACTGTCAAAAACTCTTTCATAGATACTCTCTTACAGTCGCCCCACGAAGAACAGAAGGCTGACACTCTGTAAGTGTATCCATTATGTATTTATGTCTTGTTCCTGACATGTGGCCCTCTTATACCACTGCTCTTTCCACTGCCCAACACTGCTGGAAGAAACCAATGGAACTGTCACCACAAATTTTACAAACTTGTCTACATTTGATGAATAGGAAAGGAAATTCCCAGAGAGGCTGAGTGGCCTGCCCAGATTCGCATGGCTGTAATCTTAGAGCTGGAATGGACATATAGGACTATTTATGCAACTCCAAGAAGAATATAAGCTGCTTTCTTCAAGGCAAGGTCCACAGTTATCATCTACATACTCCCAGATGCCTGACACACGGTCGGTTCTCAAGACACACCCAGGGAAGGCAGGTCTGGCCGAGCTGGGACTAGTCTTGGTCTCCTGACCCCCAAGATCGTGCTCTTTCCCACATACAAACCTGCTTACCAAGGTCCCTGCTCACAGCAAGCTGTTCACTGTTCTTATATTCCTAGTTCATACACTGTCTCACTTCTTTTCTACTCCCAGAGTCCCCTCTCCCAACCCTTGCAGTCCCCAGTCAGACCCTCCACAGAGACCTTGGTCACCAGGTCATTTGAGGACCATCTCCAAGGAGCTCCCTGAGTCATTCCATTCAACTCCAGCCAGCCCCTCCCTCACTTCCTGTGGTAAGAAAGACACAACATGGACGTGTCAGGAATAAGAGCTCATGTTTTGAAGCAAACGCGTCCCTCAGCTTTGCCCCAATCTAATGCGCTAATATGCCAGGAGGTCACCTGTCCCAGACACTTGCCTCGCTGTCACACTCATTCACCCATCCAGTCAACATGTTTATGGCGTTGGTACACAGTACAAGGCCCTGTGTTGATCGCTGACTCAGACATTAGAAAAATGATTATTCATTTATTCATCCAATCATACAACACTTACTGAACACCCACCACCAGGATGGCGAGTAGGTTTCATTTAGGTTCCAAACAAAGCCAATACCAAAAAGTCAGTTGCTCTGTTTTGAGGACTGTGGTGCTTTTTCTTCTGGGGGAAGAGTACTGAGATCAATAACTGATGTCTGCTGTGAGTGCAGACTAGGAGACTGGAAGTACACCTATATTACATGCCAGGCAGTGTGTAGGCTCTAAGAGTTCAGTGATGAATAAGTTACATTTCCTGCTCACAATTTTGTAGTGTGTGATTTCATTCGTTACAATTGCAAATGGAACACGCATTTATGATAAAAACCCTGCAGAAAGTAGGCATAGAGGGACCTACCTTAACATAATAAAGGCCATATATGACAAACCCACAGCCAACATCGTTCTCAATGGTGAAAAACTGAAACCATTTCCTCTAAGATCAGGAACAAGACAAGGTTGCCCACTCTCACCACTATTATTCAACATAGTTTTGGAAGCTTTAGCCACGGAAATCAGAGAAGAAAAAGAAATAAAAGGAATACAAACTGGAAAAGAAGACGTAAAACTGTCACTGTTTGCAGATGACATGATACTATACATACAGGATCCTAAAAATACTATCAGAAAACTACTAGAGCTAATCAATGAATTTGGTAAAGTAGCAGGACACAAAATTAATGCACAGAAATCTCTTGCATTCCTATACACTAATGATGAAAAATCTGAAAGAGAAATTAAGGAAACATTCCCATTTACCAGTGCAACAAAAAGAATAAAATACCTAGGAGAGAACCTACCTAAGGAGACAAAAGACCTGTATGCAGAAAACTATAAGACACTGATGAAAGAAATTAAACACGATACCAACAGATGGAGAGATATACCATGTTCTTGGATTGCAAGAAGCAACACTGTGAAAATGTCTATAATACCCAAGGCAACCTACAGATTCAGTGCAATCCCTATCAAGCAACAAATGGCATTTTTCACAGAACTAGAACAAAAGATTTCACAAATTGTATGGAAACACAAAAGACCCCAAATAGCCAAAGCAATCTTGAGAAAGAAAAACGGAGCTGGAAGAATCAGGCTCCCTGACTTCAGACAATACTACAAAGCCACAGTAATCAAGACAGTATGGTACTCACACAAAAACAGAAATATAGTTCAATGGAACAGGACAGAAAGCCCAGAAATAAGCCCACGCACATATGGTCACCTTATCTTTGATAAAGGAGGCAAGAATATACAATGGAGAAAAGACAGCCTCTTCAATAAGTGTTGCTAGGAAAACTGGACAGCTGCATGTCAAAGAATGAAATTAGAACACTCCCTAACACCATACACAAAAATAAACACAAAATGATTTAAAGACCTAGATGTAAGGCCAGACACTATAAAACTCTTAGAGAGTCAGCTCTACCCACCACCAGTCCCTCCCATCAAGCCTCTTAGATAGCCTCATCCACCAGAGGGCAGACAGCAGAAGCAAGAAGAACTACAATCCTGCAGCCTGTGAAACAAAAACCACATTCACAGGAATATAGACAAGATGAAAAGGCAGAGGGCTATATACCAGATGAAGGAACAAGATAAAACCCCAGAAAAACAACTAAATGAAGTGGACATAGGCAACCTTCCAGAAAAACAATTCAGAATGATAGTGAAGATGATCCAGGACCTCGGGAAAAGAATGGAGGCAAAGATTGAGAAGATGCAAGAAATGTTTAACAAAGACCTAGAAGAATTAAAGAAGAAACAAACAGAGATGAACAATACAATAACTGAAATGAAAACTACACGAGAGGAATCAATATCACAATAACTGAGGCAGAAGAACGGATAAGTGACCTGGAAGGCAGAATGGTGGAATTCACCACTGCAGAACAGAATAAAGAAAAAAGAATGAAGAGAAATGAAGACAGCCTAAGAGACCTCTAGGACAACATTAAATGCAACAACATTTGCATTATAGGGGTCCCAGAAGGAGAAGAGAGAGAGAAAGAACCAGAGAAAATATTTGAAGAGATTATAGTTGAAAACTTCCCTAACATGGGAAAGGAAATAGCCACCCAAGTCCAGGAAGTGCAGAGGGTCCCAACCAGGATAAACCCAAGGAGAAACATGCTGAGACACATAGTAATCAAATTGGCAAAAATTAAAGACAAAGAAAAATTATTGAAAGCAGCAAGGGAAAAATGACAAATAACATACAAGGGAACTCCCATAAGGTTAACAGCTGACTTCTCAGCAGAAATTCTACAAGCCAGAAGGGAGTGGCATGATATACTCAAAGAGATGAAAGGGAAGAACCTACAACCAAGATTACTCTACCCAAAAAGGATCTCATTCAGATTCGATGGAGAAATCAAAAGCTTTATAGACAAGCAAAAGCTAAGAGAATTCAGCACCACCAAACCAGCTCTACAACAAATGCTAAAGGAACTTCTCTAAGTCGGAAACACAAGAGAAGAAAAGGACCTACAAAAAAAACCCCAAAACAATTAAGAAAATGGTCATAGGAACATACATATTGATAATTACCTCAAACGTGAATGAAGTAAATGCTCCATCCAAAAGACACAGGCTTGCTGAATGGATACAAAAACAAGACCCATATATATGCTGTCTACAAGAGACCGACTTCAGACCTAGGGACACATACAGACTGAAAGAGAGGGGATGGAAAAAGATATTACATACAAATGGAAATCAAAAGAAAGCTAGAGTAGCTATACTCATATCAGATAAAATAGATTTTAAAATAAAGAATGTTACAAGAGACAAGGAAGGACACTACATAATGATCAAGGGATCAATCCAAGAAGAAGATATAACAATTATAAATATGTATGCAACCAACATAGGAGCACATCAATACATAAGGCAACTGCTAACAGCTATAAAAGAGGAAATCGACAGTAACAAAATAATAGTGGGGGACTTTAACACCTCACTTACACCAATGGACAGATCATCCAAAATGAAAATAAATAAGGAAAGAGAAGCTTTAAATGCCACCTAGACCAGATAGATTTAATTGATATTTATAGGACATTCCATCCAAAAACAGCAGATTATACTTTCTTCTCAAGTGCACGCAGAACATTCTCCAGGATAGATCACATCTAGGGTCACAAATCAAGCCTTAGTAAATTTAATAAAATTGAGATCATATCAAGCATCTTTTCTGACCACAACGCTATGAGATTAGAAATGAATTACAGGAAAAAAAACATAAAAAACACAAACACATGGAGGCTAAACAATACATTACTAAATAAGCAAATGATCACTGAAGAAATCAAATAGGAAATCAAAAAATACTTAGAGACACATGACAATGAAAACACGACGATCCAAAACCTATGGGATGCAGCCAAAGTAGTTCTAACAGGGAAGTTTATAGCTATAGAAGCCTACCTCAAGAAACAAGAAAAATCTCAATTAAACAATCTAAACTTACACCTAAAGGAACTAGAGAAAGAAGAACCAAAGAAAACCCCCAAAGTTAGCAGAAGGAAAGAAATCATAAAGATCAGAGCAGAAATAAATGAAATAGAAACAAAGAAAACAATAGCAAAGATCAATAAAACTAAAAGCTGGTTCTTTGAGAAGATAAACAAAATTGATAAACCATTAGCCAGACTCATCAAGAAAAAGAGGGAGAGGACTCAGATCAATAAAATTAGAAATGAAGAAGGAGAAGTTACAACAGACACTGCAGAAATACAAAGCATCCTAAGAGACTACTACACGCAACTCTATGCCAAAAAAATGGACAACTTGGAAGAAATGGACAAAATCTTAGAAAGGTATAACCTTCCAAGACTGAACCAGGAAGAAACAGAAAATATGAACAGACCAATCACAAGTAATGAAATTGAAACTGTGATTAAAAATCTTCCAACAAACAAAAGTCCAGGACCAGATGGCTTCACAGGTGAATTCTATCAAACATTTAGAGAAGAGCTAACACCCATCCTTCTCAAACTCTTCCAAAAATTTGCAGAGGAAGGAACACTCCCAAACTCATTCTATGAGGCCACCATCACCCTGATACCAAAACCAGGCAAAGATAATACAAAAAAAGAAAATTACAGACCAATATCACTGATGAATATAGGTGCAAAAATCCTCAACAAAATACTAACAAACAGAATCCAACCACACGTTAAAAGGATCATACACCATGATCAAGTGGGATTTATCCCACGGATGCAAGGATTCTTCAATATACGCAAATCAATCAATGTGATACACCTTATTAACAAATTGAAGAATAAAAACCATATGATCATCTCAATAGACGCAGAAAAAGCTTTTGACAAAATTCAACACCCATTTATGATAAAAACTCTCCAGAAAGTGGGCATAGAGGGAACCTACCTCAACATAATAAAGGCCATATACGACAAACTCACGGCAAACATCATTATCAATGGTGAAAAACTGAAAGCATTTCCTCTAAGATCAGGAGCGAGACAATGATGTCCACTCTCACCACTGTTATTCAACATAGCTTTGGAAGTCCTAGCCACGGCAATCAGAGAAGAAAAAGAAATAAAAGGAATACAAATTGGAAAAGAAGAAGTAAAACTGTCACTGTTTGCAGATGACATGATACTATACATACAGGATCCTAAAAATGCTACCAGAAAACTACTAGAGCTAATCAATGAATTTGGTAAAGTTGCAGGATACAAAATTAATGCACAGAAATCTCTTGCATTCCTATACACTAATGATGAAAAATCTGAAAGAGAAATTAAGGAAACACTCCCATTTACCATTGCGACAAAAAGAATAAAATACCTAGGAATAAACCTACCTAGGGAGACAAAAGACCTGTATGCAGAAAACTATAAGACACTGATGAAAGAAATTAAAGATAATACCAACAGATGGAGAGATATACCATGTTCTTGGATTGGAAGAATCAATATTGTGAAACTGACTATACTACCCAAAGCAATCTACAGATTCAATGCAATCCCTATCAAATTACCAATGGCAGTTTTTATGGAACTAGAACAAATCATCTTAAAATTTGTATGGAGTTACAAAAGACCTCGAATAGCCAAAAGCAGTCTTGAGGGAAAAAAATGGAGCTGGAGGAATCAGACTCCCTGACTTCAGACTATTCTACAGAGCTACAGTAATCAAGACAATATGGTAGTGGCACAAAAACAGAAACATAGATCAATGGAACAAGATAGAAAGCCCAGAGCTAAACCCACACACCTATGGTCAACTAATCTATGACAAAGGAGACAAAGATATACAATGGAGAAAAGACAGTCTCTTCAATAAGTGGTGCTGGGATAACTGGGCAGCTACATGTAAAAGAATGAAATTAGAACACTCCCTAACACCGTACACAAAAATAAACTCAAAATGGATTCGAGACCTAAATGTAAAATTGAACACTATAAAACTCTTACAGGAAAACATAGGAAGAACACTCTTTGACATAAATCACAGCAAGATCTTTCTTGATCCACCTCCTAGAGTAATGGAAATAAAAACAAAAATAAACAAATGGGACCTAATGAAACTTCAAAGCTTTTGCACAGCAAAGGAAGCCATCAACAAGACGAAAAGATAACCCTCAGAATGGGAGAAAATATTTGCAAACGAATCAATGGACAAAGGATTAATCTCCAAAATATATAAACAGCTCACGCAGCTCAATATCAAAGAAACAAACAACCCAATCCAAAAATGGGCAGAAGACCTAAATAGACATTTCTCCAAGGAAGACATACAGATGGCCAAGAAGCACATGAAAAGCTGCTCAACATCACTAATTATTAGAGAAATGCAAATCAAATCTACAATGAGGTATCACCTCCCACCAGTTAGAATGGGCATCATCAGAAAATCTACAAACAACAAATGCTGGAGAGGGTGTGGAGAAAAGGGAACACTCTTGCACTGTTGGTGGGAATGTAAATTGATACAGCCACTATGGAGAACAGTATGGAGGATCCTTTAAAAGCTAAAAATAGAATTAGCACATGATCTAGCAATCCCACTACTGGGCATATACCCAGAGAAAACCATAATTCAAAATGCACCCCAATGTTCATTGCAGCACCCCAATTTTCATTGCAGCACTATTTACAAGAGCCAGGACATGGAAGCAACCTAAGTGTCCATCAACAGATGAATGGATGAAGAGCATGTGACACATACATACAATGGAATATTACTGAGCCATGAAAAGAAATGAAATTGAGTTATTTGTAGTGAGGTGGATGGACCTAGAGTCTGTCATACAGAGTGAAGTAAGTCAGAAAGAGAAAAAACAAATACCATATGCTAACATATATATATATATGAAATCTAAAAAGAAAAGAAGGTTCTGAAGAACCCAGGGGCAGGATAGGAATAAAGACTCAGACGTAGAGAATGGACTTGAGGACAAGTCCTCAAGTACCCTTAAGAGGAAAGGGTAAGCTGGGGTGAAGTGAGAGTGACATTGACATATATGCACTACCAAATGTAAAATAGATAGCTAGGGGGAAGCAGCCGCATAGTGCAGGGAGATAAGCTCCGTGCTTTGTGACCACCTTGAGGGGTGGGATAAGGAAGGTGGGAGGGAAATGAAAGAGGAAGGGGATATGGGGATATATGTATATGTATAGCTGATTCACTTTGTTATACAGCAGAAAGTAACACAACATTGTAAAGCAATTATACTCCAATAAGGATGTTTAAAAAAAAAAAAAGAATTGGAAATGGAGCAGATCAATGGACATAGGTCTTCTCAGCTCTACTGCCCCCATTTTTTGTGTGCATTTGGGAAGCAAAACAAGGATGCCCACCAGATCAACTCCCCTCTTCAATTGCCAGGAAACTCAGGATGGATCTTTCAAAAGGACCACCACCTCCCTCTGCATTGCTGCACTGAATTTCTGATTCTGTTCCATTGCAGATGCTGTTCCCTGTGCTCCTGGCCATACAGGGCACTGTGGGTGCCGTGTATTGTGTGGTCATTTCTTCACTGGGTTTGCTCAGTGGCCCCCTCTGTGACACAGGCAGTGGAAACTACACCTACCCGTTCAGGAATTATTCCCTGGAGTGAGTAGCATTTATGGCCTTGGGTCCGTGTCTAACATCTAAAGATGATACCGTGATGACTGCAAAGAGTGTGTGCTCTGAGAATTGACTATGTAGTAGTGGGGCCAGGTACCTCCTTTCATACTTGGTGTCTTGCTCCTCTCTCTGTACCAGACTGACACATTTATTCCCAAATCACCAATCTCTAGAGGTGACTGGCCAAGGCAAGGTGTGCCCATGAATTAAGCAGTTCACCCAAGGTATTCAGTAAAATACATTGACTTCATTTTCCCCCATTATTAAACACAGGTGAGCACATGCTGAGGGCTTGCTTAGTACTGACTAGGCGCTGTGATTAGAGAAGGGATTCCAAAAGAGGGATAAGACCACTTGCCTATTTACACCTTGCCTGTTCACAGTCTAATTGGGGAGACAATAGTCAAATTTGGGGTTTGTTTTGCAACGATCTCAGCCTATCAATAAGCAGTGTTGTGGCTGGACCAGTCCTTGTGGTTCTTATTATGATTGCAAGACGCCCTTTAGCAATAACCATCAAGAAACTTTGAAAAAATAAAGATTTCTTACATATGGGACCTGGAAATTACACAGCACACCTAGGGTCACACAGCAAGGTCGGCGGGGG